AATGAGGGGTCCCTTCCCGCCATTGTTCGCACTTTTGCGAAGTGTTTTTCCATTTTATCAAAGGCTCTCTAATTTTTTCTGACATTTCTTTAGACAATTGATACTACTGTCGAGCAGAATTCGGGCCCCATAATTTTTTAAGGAGAATCATTTTGCAGTTTTAATTTCCATTTTCGTAAACAGCATTCAAAACTCTATCGATTTATCTGGGTCTGAATTCAAGGTTCCAAGATAAGTAGACTACCCCTCCCTGGTTAGTAGGGGTACTAGGTGATGCTCCAAGACGTCCTGGTCATCCTTGGAATCCAGTCTGTTCACGTAGGCTAGAACCAACGCGGCAGCATTGCAGAATGCACTCCACACCATAAGACTTGCTCCACCGAAACTGCGACGGCTGAAGTAGGCTGGTTTCTTCCTTAAATCGCGACAGTTCTACTTGTTTTCGTCTGGGCCGTCTAAGCTGAGTTTCTTTGTATCCAAAAAGACAACCTGAGTGGAAATTATTCAGCTGTCTGGTGAGACTTTGCTGCAGACCTACCTTTGCCTGAACTCTTTCTAGATTCATTTTTGTCAATTCGAGAGGGGCATCTCTGTGGCGACCGGTGATTCGTGGCGTCTTCTTCATTGCTTGCCTGGTGATGTTCTCGCATCTTCTTACTGACTGTAGTTTTCAAAACAGAGAGGTTAAACTCCAATCGGATCTGGTTCATGGAGGACGTACTGTTGGAAACAGCCTTAGAATCTTCCGCTCGTCACGGGCAGTAACCTTGCGTAGGCGTCCACAGCTGGTGTTACATCTAAGGACATCAGGGTTTCCAGAAATCTTTGAATGGAGCAGAGGGACCTTCCTATTCGCCTGGAGGTGGCACGCTCACTGAGCCCCAACTTTATGGGGAACCCGAGTTTGAGCCTTCTCAACCAAGGAAAGCAGACTACCACCAGCCATGTGACAGTCAGGTTTAGAGATGCACTTTCCACACATGCTTACCCTTATAAGTATCTCGAGAGACGAGATTTCTTCTCCTTCATGAATAATTGTTCACTTTCTCAGGGTGACCTTATAATTATGAAACTGTGCAAAAACCGATAAAATAAAATTTCTAAGAAAAAATTCAGAAAATGTAGCTGCTACTAAAAACGGGCACCTAGGTTACTCGTACTAGGGGATCCGTTCATGATGCTAGAAAAAATCCTGAATGATTACTTCTTCTCAGAATGCAAAATTTAACTGTGACCTTATAATTATGAAACGCACTGTAATACAGTACAGTACACGACAATCGGTCGACACGGAACGCGTCCTGGACCCGAGGCTGCCGGGCTCGGCACTCGACCTCTCTCCTTGAATGACCTCCCTTGGCTCCTCCTCGTCGTTGGTCCGATGTTGTTCCCTCGAAGCCTGGTTTCTCCGCGATGATCTATAAGCTTGTAATTTAGCTGCGAACAATTCGATGACTCACCCCTTGCCCTCGATGACTGTTCAACTAGAATATTCTATATAAGTATAATTCTCACGTTATGACCGTACGTTCGAGGACATCGTCCACAATACAAGTCTCCTGAATTTCCTCCAGGTACGAATCGCTGGTAACCAGTGAGAGCGTAGGAGCCGTTGTGGGGTCAAAGCCGGTCTAGATAAGGTATTTCAAGGCGCACTTTCCATACCAAACTCAGAAGTGTCCGCGTTTTGATGCCACGTAGAGGCACCATTCATAATGGAGCACATATGTTGAATGGTACACGATTTTCCGCATTTTTTTCTTTGCTCATTGTAGCCAGCTCCTTCCACATTCGCAAACGAGTGAAAATTTGTTCCCTCCCCTTCTATACAACTTTCGTCGCTTTAATCTCGAGCAACGCCCTACTTCAACTGGTGTCGACAGCCATTATATGCATCTTGCAAACCCTAAAAATCATCGTTTTTTCTTCGCCACTGATGCACCCTTTCGTAGTTTCGTGTTTCGTTTCCGCACAATTTTTCTAAAATGTTGGGAGCTATTCAAAAATCTCTCTATCTAACGCAACCTTAAATAATGTTTTTGTTAAGCTCGGATTCAACATTGCGGTACACTTGGTAAATTACTTGACACTGCTGAGAGCAAAGAAAATTATTTGACACTCAAAAAGAATAGGAGCACCTTCGGTCACGCGTGCATTTAGTCTCGTTGTCTGAAGAGTGATAAAGGGTTCCAAGAAAATTTTGCAGTGTACAACAATCGAACTTAGGTAGCATACGGTTGCTAAGACTCAATATCGTCGAATTAGAATGCAGTTAAGCAAATCCTACCGCCATGGTTCGCTATAACCACGAAACGTTTGGGAAATGTCCATGGGGCGAAATAATAACAACTCAAGGATGAGGTTTCTATGGGTTTAAGTGGGAAAGGGGATGGCTAAGCTGGAAATTGACACGAATACCGTACAAGAACTACAGCCTTTTGCGATGGCGTGGTACTGGCCTCATCGACATGTAAAGACCTAAATTAGTTCAGTTCGATCAGAGATTGTTACGTGCTCCTCCTTTATCAACAGACCGTGCATTTTCAGCTAGCGCTTTATTTCGCTACTACCACAACGGATACTTGTATCTTTAGAAACTTACTTACTTATACGGCTCGCCTTCATTCATGTGCGAGCACCAGCAACAAACCATTCGTTTCTGTCTTTCGCGATCGCTATCCACGGTGGACTCGGAATGACGAAAATGACCATGTAAAGAGCAACTTAGCTGCATTCGCAGCTACTTTACATGATCGACGAGCGCACTCTCCACCTTTCAGTGGCCTTCCCTTGGACAAGTGAAATCATACGGGAGCTCACTCAAATGTTCTTCTTGTCCATTTGTCATCATTTCTTCTCATGATATGACCGTCCATTCGAAACTTATTGTTTTTCACGTATTCTTCTGCATCGCGAGGGCGAGATATTTTGGGCCATGTCGGAGCTGCGTAGTCTGGCTCGATACTGAGTGAGCCATTCAAATCTCAGAAGACATCGCTTTAGGCTTTTTACATTAATGTCTCTGACACGTGACAGAGCACGTAGTGAACTGCGGAATCGAATAGAATAGCGCGCCCGGATTAGCCAGATGGTTGGTGATTATTTCAGTGCTCCGGTCGCCCACGCTGTTTTCCGCCATCTTATCACATCTTCTTTCATGTCGTTGCCCACGTTCATGAGACGCCCGAGATAAATTTAAGATGGGATCCCTTAATAGCGTACCATCGATCTTATTTTGACCTTCGCCAGCTCGAGTACTATTCATGAATTGTGTCTTTATTATCCTCATGAAGGTGAGCCACACTGAGATCTGCAAGTGCCCCAGCACTTCAGCAGCTCTCGCGGGAAATCGATTGTTCAGTATTGCTAGTGCTAATGCTATTTGCAGTGACGATCTTGTGCATTGACGATTCCGAGGGTATATGAACCAGAATAATCACAATCCCTGGCGCGGTTCGGTCCACAATTGCCTCAGGTCTCCAGCTCTCGTCCCTTGAGTCGCTTCATCCGAAATTTTTACATACCTCAACGTAGCTGTCCAAAAGGGTCTTCCATCGTATATCCTATTTCAAGAGAACAAAAGGAGAAAACCTCCAAAGACCCATGTCTCTCGCTAAAGAAAAGGTGAAAAGCGATGCAGAAAAGTGGGCCATCCAGTGCAGTGATGGCCGCTGCGAATTGAGGAAGGGGAATGGTTGCTGACATTTGAAAGCGAAAACTAAATGTAGAAAATAGGCGTTTCAGACGGTTTCTGCATGTGTGAGACTAGGGTTTGCCAAGGAACTGAGTATACTGTACTTCCTGAAGACGGCGTTTCTGCACCTAAAGTTTGCTTTGGAATCTCCAACAGTTTTCTTGGACGTTTAAGGACACATAGTTAACACAACCAGCCCACACTGTAGCAGAAGCGATAAGCATAAATTCTAAGCACAAAGAAATGACGCTGCTGGTAGGGATTCTTCATATTTTTGTGCTATACTTCTCCAGTTTTTATTTTGTTGTAAGTTTATTGAGAAAGTTTCAGTGAGAGAAAAGTCGATTCTAATTCATTTCAGTAAAGAATATCGCGACGTATTCGATAAACTCCTCGGTATTGGTCTTGTGAAGGAGAAGATCAGCTGCAAAGGAACTCGTCTCCCTACCCAACCTGTAGTACCTTTGGCAACTGGTTCAGTGAGGAATACAAAGCCGATTTCTGTGGCATAGATCGGTCACCGCTGAAGCAGCAAAGAGGAGTCGATGTGGGAATGAATGAATCTCTGCGTGAATGAACGTTTATGTTGAACTTCAGTGTTGTTGTATTCGTTTTACTTTTTACTCATGACTCTTCTCTTCTTGGCTTTAGTGCTATATTCTGGTTGCATTGGTTCAAGACAAGCGTTGGCAGAATCACCAAATAACAGCCACTGCTCCATACGAAGTATCACGGAAGTTTCATTGGGTGCAGATGAGGCAAGTACGCGCTCGGTCCATTTCAGCAGTCTATTCACTTGGATCCGATTTACTTGGTATTGCTCCAGTTACGACTAAACATAAACTACAACATACTGAACATATGGAAGAGGGAGAGGTCGTAGTTGTCTAGAGGACCGGCCCACACATATGTATTATATACCTACGTATTCTATGTATGTTAAAGGTCATAATTCACTAGAAAATGACAATTCGCTTTTAATCTTTTTTTGCGCCCTATAGCCTATCGATTAGCGTTACTCTAAAGAGCGTCCTCAGGTGGCGGATAGGGGTTCAAATTGTCGATGAAGGTCACCAGTGCTTGCCCAAAAACGCAGGTGATTTCGAGGGACGGACTCCCTGTTTCTGCTGTGCTGGGTCGATAACGCTTCTGTAGTCGCAGGTGTATCCGTGCATATGGGCGTGGAGAGTCTGAGAGTGCAGTTGGTATCCTGCCTGTGGAATCCGCTATAAACTTGTATTCCAGTGGCTGACAAGTATCTGAGAGGCGATTTGAGATCGCCTCAAAGAACAAAGCTCCTCGTCCACTCTGGAATTGCTTGGCTAGGTACCCTGAGTCAATGGAGTTCCACTTGGGAGTCTGGGAAGCTACTCGTGGGTACCCATATGCCAAAAACAGCTTTATAAATGAGCGTCATTCTCCTCAACCTGAGGGAGCCCCCAAGCGGCAGAGATGGGCAGACCGCTCCGGAGAGACTGCTAAAATCTTGGCGCCATGACCGGCTGTACAAAAGGAGGAGGGCTGAGATAGCGATCCGTACTTTCAATGCAGTGATATGTACTAGCATCGAAAGTGTGTCGAACATAGTATGATGATGCGAGTCAGGAAGATCAAGCACGACGTCATTGGACTGATCGAGACGAGAAGACAACGTCCCTTGCATGCCATTGCCGAAAATGGAGAAGAAGTCTTGCGACAGCAGGAGCGTCGGCATTGCAGGTCACTCGTCAACACAAACTTGACCATGAACATCGGTCCGTACGAAAGCCTGACAACCCGAATCTGACGTTTGCGATTAAGAAGATGTGGATCAACCTAGCTCTAACAATACTCGTTGCCTATGCACCAACATCAAGCTCCGAAGTAGAAGAGCTGGAAGAGTTCTATATGGAGAGGCTCTACAGATAAGACCATATTCTCTTCAGGTCATCGTCACTGATTTCAACGCCAAGTTTGCCTTTAGGAGAACGGCTGAAGAGCTCCATATCGGAACTCACGGACCGAGTGTGTCATGTCGACACACACTATACAATGGTGATCCGCAGTTCCAGAATCCATCTCATTTCCGATGGACATGGAAGTTATCTGGTGGACTATATCACATCATCTTCATTCAAAAAATTTGCCTGATTGACGTCCCTTTTGTTCAAATTCCTGTACGGGATCAGACCACCCTCTCCTCTCTTGACATTTTTTTTCAAATTCGAACTCGTGCTTTTTAATAATCTCCAGTTCACGGAGCCCTTTCGTTTGGAAGACACAAGACAGACAGCTTTTCTATGAAGACATCACCTTCAGTGAAAAGTTTTAACTCAACTCAATCTTTCCTAGACTAAACCGAGAAGCATTTTCCCTTATAGGAAGCTCCGTTGAAACATAAAAATGCAGAAATCTACAGGAACTCCGAGAGCTATGAGCTGTCTCAAACCAACTCCAAATGTACAACTCTGGTGGTCATGCTTGTGAACGAACACCCCCATACCCTTTGCGTTGAAAAAGTAGCGGTCCAACATAGTCCAAAGCGATTCTTTTGAAGGTCAACTACGCTCCAGCCTTGGGGATAGCAATTCTGTGAATCAAAATACTGATAAGAATAAGCTTACTATCACTGACATGTTACACATTACCTTATCATGGACCGAACTAGACTACGATTTTGCTGTGTAAAATACCTTTAACGTGATGCACTGAGGTGGCGCTCTACTCCTACGTGGATAAAGCTTGATGGTGTTGTGTGGTGATGATCATTCTCGACGGATGAGCAGGCGCAAGAGCACGGTTCTTGGCCGAACGTCCTGTGCCTCATTGGAGGTACCGACCCAATTGAATTGAACGCGCGTTAGGATCTTTGTGGGCATCTTTGATCTCAGTTGGATTGATTGCAATTGATCAGTACATCTTGCCAATGTTCTCGAAAAAGTAGAAACTCAGCCATCTCATCGTCCTGGTTTTCGGCCTCCCTACACATAGCTGTGGCTCCTGTAGGCAGAAATGCGAAATCCATGCGAACTCGACTGCACGGCGATACTCTCTCGTAAATCAGCTTCCTAAAGAACTTTAAGATGAAAGCCATATAATGTACTGGCATATTGTAGTCCGAGTCCTTCTGGAATGCAGTGGTCCTGCATATGTATAATGGTATACGATAACCCTGTACCTTGGAAATTTTGAACTCGACATCGTTTCCGGAGACGAGCGAGGATTAATATTGAAATTCATCGTTGCGTGCGGTCATGTGACCCATTAACTGATTCAGCCAACCCCGAGTGGTCAAAGATTTTCCGAGAAGAGATTCCTTTGGTGGTATAGTTTTTTGGATTGGATGGAACATAATGAGCCCAAACCCTTCAAGAGAGAAGACTGCTTGCGTCTTCCACAAAGTGAGACTACTTTTTATAAAATCTGCTTTCAGTCTTTCAGTAGAATCGTTACTCCTCACGTGCTAACCAATAGAAATTTCTTCACAAGAGACACAGTCCTACAAGTAACAGCAAGCGTTGCGCTCGTGCAAGTTCATGCTAGGACGAAAAATGCGAATCACTAGCGCGTCATAAGTAAGCGAAAAACTATTTGAGGGAAGTGATTCTTATGCAATACATTTTGGGCAGAATCCTATACAGGACGGCATGTGATTAATGAAAGCCAAGACGGAGTGCCTACTTCATAGAATTTACGCGAGACCACCAGTGACAAAATGTTCGAAACACTTTGTTGCAATAATTGGACTCAGTCAGTCAGTCAAAATGAAAATTCCACTTTCTGCCTAGGCTCGACAAAACATATCATACCAACACAGTAATGCTATTTCCGACTATACTAGGTCGTGGAAGATGTTCACTCCAACCTTGTCTTCAGTCAGTACAATAACCTTGCTGAGCACCAAATTCATTATGAATGGGAAAAGAACAGCATGATGGGAAGAGAATGCAATTTGAGCTTTGCAGTGCTTGAGATACGATGATGTCAAACACTGCGCTGCCCAGAACTGAATCAATCTACTTGCAATCATGCAGAAACGTGGGTGAACTGTAATCATAAAGACATGGTCAGAAAAGTTGCTCGTGAGGTCAGAAACCAGTCGCTATCAGTATTCCCGTCGATAACCTCTCGAAGATCACCAAACTTAAAGGTCTGAGCTTGCTGCTTGAAGGTCTAACTGAGGTCGCCAACTTGCTTGTAGTATAGTACTATCGGATTTATCTCAAGCTTATAAGACCAACTTACAACCGAAACCCTGGTCCTGGTTGCTCGAGCAACGTGCTTATAACTGCAAGTGAATTAAAAGCCTGCTATGAGTGTACGAAAGGAGAGGTAGTCTCACCAATTCGAATTCACTCTGAAGACGATATGAAAGCAGAAGCTTCTTGTGAATCAATTCTTTTCAGTATCCTATGCCATACCTCCTGCGCAAATTCTGAACTACGCTTTGGTCAGGCGAAAGCAAAGGTCAACTTATGATGCGCAGTGTGTTGTAGTAAGGTGATCACCCATTTCGAAATTGGAGGCATCCGCAAACTAACGACATTCGTCCAAGGGCTGATTCAGCGGTTGCTAGGCGGAAGTCGTATCACAATATCGGGATGGTCGTGACCCGAATTCTCCCATATACAGTGACTTTCAAAAGTATGTGCACACCCAACATTTTGTTTTTTGGGAATACCATTGCTTTCTGTAACCTGTGACCTTAACCATTCAAGTCTTTGTGTGCGATAACCTACGAACACTTTCTCTGAGAAAACATCGTAGCTGCTAACACAATTCTTATTATACAAAAAATTTTCTTTGTCTTAAAAGTATGTGCACACTTAGCACAAAACAAAAATATAATCAAGATCAGAAACCAAAAAAGCCTCCTAAATTCTTGGAAAGGTTACTACGAGGAGTCGTTTGAGAATGCTTTCGTCACGGTAGGCTCCCTGGTTTCCTTTGAAATGAAAATTTTTGAGTGTGCACATCCTTTCTGAACGGCAACTGGGTCGCTCTTTTTCATGCATTGCTAGATTCATTCGAGAGCCTGGCAGCTACCGCTCACAACCTATTCCTGGCCATCCACGTATTTTGACTGCTCAGGACAACAGGAGAATAGCCCGTCTTGTGACGAATACTTCTTTGTCTGTGAGGCAGATACGAGCTCAGGTTTATCAGTCTCGCGTACGACCGTTTGGCGCTCTATCCGCTCTGATGAGTATATCACACGAGAGACGATGAAGAAGACTACTCGACTCAGTACTCGCCACAAGCTGACAAGGCTAAAGATTTTTCGCAGGAACATGGCAACATCATGGAACAAGGTACGGCTGTCCGAGAATTTTAAGGATTTTCCTATTCTGAGAACAAACAAAGTGTGGTACACCTTTTGTTATTTGGTGATCTCCTCTGATGAAAAGAAGTTCAATCACGATGGGCCGGATGGATTTCATCATTACTATGGGAACCTCGCCGAAATCCACTCGTGTTTTCGAAAAGGAATTTCGGAGGAGGCTATTTGATGGTCTGGGGCAAGCAAACTCCAGCCTTGTCAGCGTGGGCAAGTATTGAGTCGAGTAGCCTTCTTCTCCTCCTCTCGTGTGATATACTCATTAGAGCGGATAGAGCGCCACGTTCGTACGCGAAACTGATAACCCACCTGAGCTCGGCTCTGACTCACAGACAAAGTATTCGCCACAAGACGTATGTATGTATGTATGTATGTATGTATGTATGTATGTATGTATGGATGTATGTATGTAAGTATGTATGTATATATGTATGTGTATATTAATGTACGTATAATCAAAAGGGCAGGTAAGGACTTTCAGAGGGCTAGCGCTAGCGCACTATAACTACGCATCCAGGTTCATCACTCATTAGAGAATCGAGTTCCTTCTCATTCTGCTATCGACTCTAGCAGAATCGATCGATGGTCCTTAGAATATCGGTCATCGGCTCATGTTCCGACGAAACATCAGGGCAACAGTTCTGATAATGATGTTATCATCAGTAGACGAACTTCGGCAATCACTATTCAAGAGTTTGGTTGTCCAATCAAGCTGTTCTTCCACGGAAAATACCAGCGAATTAGTAGGGGTAAGAATCAAACTGAATTAATATTGTTGTTGAGATTAGGAGGTCATTCAAGCAGTCTATTTTTACATCTAGGACCGGGTGACTATTGCTGCCCATCCTACATTCTTTAATGAAGCAGGTGTTTTCTGCTCATCCATCCGCAAATTCTTGACTAGCTTAACACAGTGTCGCTTCAGCAAGGATTGAGTGTGAGTTTTCAGATTTTTTTTGTTAAGGATGTATACAATACTAACAATGAGCAGTGAAGAAACTTCCAAGAAGTCCACAAAAAAAACTCCACTGCTTCGATCATCCTCAGCGGCTGCAGATAATCAGCTGTAGTAGCCATGGTAATGAGAGCGCATAGCCCCATATACTAGACCAATCGGGCCGCCCGGCTAACGCCGTCCTTCCCTCCTTTTTACGGGTTCGCCCGGCTACACCGGACGCTCCTTCTTCCTGTGAGAAATTTGCTATGCGTAAATAACACTTCGAATTCTCCTTTTTCTTTGAATGCTCTATACCTTCAGTATTAGCTCCGAATTAGGAGCGATTTTTTTGTGTAAGCCACCTTCGCTCTGTCTGAATAGAACTCGCATAATATCACAAAGACGATTACTCAGAGAAAAAAAGCATTCAGAGACTTCATCGCGGCTGAGTCTACTATGTTAGTTAGCATCAATGCTACATCACTGCTACCAGAAAACTCCTTGTGCCTTCAAGTTTCGACGGTCTGAGTCCAAACTAACAGTATGTATTCACGCCAAGCCCTTTGGGGCTTTGGGATTTTAGTGCGACCTATCATCAGGTTCCTATCCTGCCTCCTGTACTCCTACCGACTTTGAACGCTCTAGGTCGACAGGGACAGGAATTATGAAATTCTGCCCAAACCCCGCCAATTGTGGGCGGAGTTCAATCGTGCTACCCATTTTAAGCGTTCCCATCCTAAATTGGGTACTCTTACCAAATTTGGACGCTCTAGGCAGTTGTGAATTTCCGGACATCAGAAAAGCGTCAAAAAGTAGACTATTCAAAACGACGGAACTTCCTGAAACACCTAATATTAAAGGCAGCCTACGTATCAGACCAAAACATCTTTTGTGGCTTCATCGGACCCTGGCTGAACTCTGCTTTCAATGTCATTTGTTCGAGAAATGTTTCACGCAAATGGAGCTCA